GGGCTTTTTAGCTCACCTGTCACAAAGTGACAGGGTGAGCTTTTGTGATCGCTTTTCGTCCGGCGTCCGTCCGTCGTCCGTCCATAAACTTTTACTTTAAATGACATCTCCTCATAAACCACTAAGCCAATTTAATCCAAACTTCACAGGAATGTTCCTTTGGTGGTCGCCTTTAAAAATTGTTCAAAGAATTTAATTCCATGCAGAACTCTGGTTGCCAACCGAAAGAAAAAACTTTAGATATATTCTTAACATTTTCTAGTGAGTGTCTACCAAGTTTATTCAAATAAATGCCCTGGGGTCAAAAGTGGCCCGCCCCAGGGGGTCATTGATTTTCCCTGTATGCATATAGTAAAAACTTAAAAAAATTCTTTTAAAGAACCCAAAGAGCTAGAGCTAAGATATTTAGCATGGAATATCTTCTAATGAGTGTCTGCCAATTTGTTCAAATAAAAACCCTGGGGTCAAAATTAGCCCCGCCCTAGGGGATCATTGATTTTCCCTATATGCATATAGTAAAAACTTAAAAAAAAACATTCTTTTAAAGAAGTCAAAGAGTTAGAGCTAAGATATTTAGCATGAAACATGTTCTAATGGGTGCTTACCAAGTTTGTTCAAATAAAAACCCTGGGGTCAAAATTAGCCCCGCCTCAGGGGGTCATTGATTTTACCTTATATGTGTAAAGCAAAAACTTGAAAAATCTTTTTTGAAAAAAAAAAAAAAAAAAAAAAAAAAATAGCTAGAGGTTAGATATTAAGCATGAAACATCTTCTAGTAAGTGTCTACAAATTTTGTTCAGATAAAAGCCCTGGGGTCAAAATTTGCCCCGCCCCGAGGGTCATTGATTTTCCTGATATGTGTATAGCAAAAACTTAAAAATCTTCTTAAAAAAAACCAAAAAAGCTAGAGTTTAGATATTAAGCATGAAACATCATCTAGTAAGTGTCTACAAAGTCCGTTCAAATTGAAGCCCTGGGGTCAAAACTGGCCCCGCCCCAGGGGTGTCATTGTTTTTAACTATATGTGTACAGTAAAAACTTTAAAAACTTCTTTTTCAAAAACCTAATGAGCTAGAGCTTATATGTTTAGCATGAAACATCTTCTTATGGGTGTCTACAAAGTTTGATCAAATAAAAGCCATTGGGAAAAAATTTCGGAAGATTTCCGCGTGGCATCTCCATTTTTTGGACCAGCGACCTGTTTTCTCCGCTATCTAAAGTGCATATTAAATTTTCGTAAAAAACACCATATTCTATAGCCAATCGATTAAACACCATTTGTATCATTTCATTTAAAATTCGTTTTTGTACAAATATGGGACGTCTTCTTTGCACATAATGAAGATCAAAGCCCTTATCAGAACATTATATTCGGGAGGTTTCCGCATGGCATAGCCATTTTTTGGACCGTTGTTTCGTTGTATATAAAATCCATAAAAAACACCATATTCAAAAGACAACAATTAAGACACCCTTTATCTGATTCCGTTCCAGATTCGTTTTTTGTACAACTTTGGAGGGTCATCTTTGCACAAATTGAGAACCAAAGCTGTAACCCAACAACCTCGTCCGTTAGTTTTCCGCATGGCATGGTCATTTTTTGAACCAGAGTTTTGTTCTTTGTCTATATAAAGTGCGTAAACTTTCGTAAAAAACACCATATTCTACATCCAACCGTTTAAACATCATTTGTCTAATTCCGTTTAAAATTCGATTTTGTACAACTAGGGAACGTCTTCTTTGCACAAAATGAAGACCAAAGCCCTAACCCAAGCAATATGCCCGGGAGGTCTCCGCATACCTTGCTCGTTTTTGGACCGGATATTGGCTGTTTTCGATATTATCAACTTAAAATTTGCAAAGTCAAATCATGGAGACAAAATTTCACCTGAAATAGTGTTTAACAATATTTTTGATAGATAACAATTTGATAAAAATGAAATTCAGTGAGGAAAGACTGCATAGCTTGCCATTGTAAAATGAACGCTACGTAGTTAAAAAAAAACAAAACACAAATTTCTACCGCCTACCGCTTAAACACCATGTGTCTAAATCCGTTGAAGATTCGTTTTTGTACAACTTTGGAGGGTGTATAATGCACAAAATGAGGAGCAAAGCCGTAACCAAAGCGATATGTCCAGGAGATTTCCGCGTGGCATGTTCAATTTTGGGACCGGCGATTTGTTCTTTCCCTATATAAAATGCATAAAAAACACCATATTCTAGAGCGAACCGTTAAGACACCATTTGTTTGATTCCGTTGCAAATTCGTTTTTGTACAACTTTGGAGGGTCTTCTTTGTAACCCAAATAATATTTCCAGGAAATTTCCGCGTGGCATGTCCATTTTTTGGACTGGCGACCTGTTTTCTCAACTATGTAAAGTGCACATTAAATTTTCGTAAAAAACACCATATTCTATAGCCAATCGTTTAAACACCATTTGTCTGATTCCATTTAAAATTCGTTTTTGTACAAATATGGAACGTCTTCTTTGCACATAATTAAGATCAAAGCCCTAATCAGAACAATATGTCCGGGAGGTTTCCGCATGGCATGGCCATTTTTTGGACCGTCGTTTCGTTCTATATAAAATCCATAAAAAACACCATATTCAAAAGACAACAATTAAGGCACCATTCATCTGATTCCGTTCCAGATTCGTTTTTGTACAACTTTGGAGGGTCATCTTTGCACAAATTGAGAACTAAAGCTGTAATCCAACAACCTCGTCCGTGAGATTTCCGCATGGCATGGTCATTTTTTGAACCAGAGTTTTGTTCTTTGTCTATATAAAGTGCGTAAATTTTCGTAAAAAGCACCATATTCTACATCCAACCGTTTAAACATCATTTGTCTAATTCCGTTTGAAATTCGATTTTGTACAACTAGGGAACGTCTTCTTTGCACAAAATGTTTGTTTGTTTGTTTGTGGTAATTTTTAATGTTTTATGAACTTATGATAGATATCCTGATATTTGAACAACTTTATTGTAAAGAGTGTTAAGCATTTTCTTAAATTGTAACTTGTATCATTATAAATATAGTTTTCTGAGTTTAAGTTTACGAATTATAAGAAAACTATTTTCCCTTGTGTGTAATCGGGTCACGGATGGATGATTTCGCGCAATTTTCATAGCTCAGTATAGAAGTATTGAATGTGGTCATTCAGCTTTGCGAGGCGTAACTGAGCGGACAGTAAATTTATTCACAAATATTAGTAATATTTCTTATTGTTGAGTTTAGAATATATAAATGCTTATGTTCAATTAACTGCGCTGTTCTGTTATATATATTACTGAAAATCATTTGCACCGTTGTTTTTGATAGTTGTATTTATTCTGTATAAGCATGTATTATTGAGCGTAACAAAATTAATGTATAGGTGTTTGTCATATTCATGTATTCATGCATGTTGCCCCTCGCAAGTGCTTCCTGCTTAACGAAAATCAAATTATAATTTGAAATGTTATGTTTAGTTAGTGTTGTTTTTTAATCGATAATTTTTTCTAATAACGTCTAATAACAATATATGTACAATCTTTAATCACCATTTATCACTCTGTAGAAATCAATGAACCGACTTAGTATTTTAGTCAAAGGGTTCAGTATTACATTGTATATATTATATATCTAGAATTCAAGAATCGCTTATCGTGTGTAAGATTTTTAGACTGACTTTTGTATCACTGTTCATGTATGCCTTTTTTCATTACTGTTGAAAGTATTAAATGGATTCTACAAAAACTTATTAAAAATGTATTATTTTGAAGATGTCATGTACATGTTATTGTTTGTTTTGCATTTCAGATCGGTATATATATTTTTGTTAGTGAAGACACCGAATGATTTATTTTCACTCGTCGGTACGCCACAAGTGAAAATGTAAAAGCTTGTGTCCACGCAAGAAATTCCATTTGATCTTACAAATTATTGCTATTTATTGTATGCATTTTTAGTGATTTCAGTCATTTTTACATTTTTCTCGTAATAAAGCACATTGAACTCCAGTCAGAGTGTATTTTTCTACGATCTGTCCACTTAATTTATGATAAGGATACATTCTGTTCATCAGATTCATTCAAATAAAGTCCAACTACTTTAAAAATTATATATAATATTTTACTGTCAACTGAAAAACATGTAATTAAATCATGGTCGTTGTAACATTGCTATAGTAATATCATTGACTTTGCAAGGTTTCAGCTTTGACAGAGAAAGAAACAGTAACATTATTTGTAAATACGTTGTAGGCTTTGTTATGTAAGTTTTTAGTCAAATATAAAATGGAAACGAAATAAGTCGAAAGTTGCTTTTGTTTGGTTATATATGTTCATGAGATGCCATACAAATATGTGCATATAATTAATAAGCTACACCTCTCATATGCCCTAGCCAGGCACTGTCAAATTTTCGGGCCCTAAAACGCGAGTATTGTTCTTAAAAAGGCATTTTTAGTGCATTAGAGCATCAAAAAAATGTGAAATGTAGCAATAAGTGTTTTTTTTTCTTTCGGAGAATTGCTCCTCCTCAGAATAAAGAGGACATTGATTTTTTATGTCATTCATTTATAAAATCTAAAAAATATAATTAAATTGTTGTTAGATGGCTAAGTTTACTGATAAATAACAAAGACGTTAATCGAAATTGCGTGAATTATTTACTTTTTTGTGATTAAAAACAATTATATTGAAATATATTAAGTGATTTGGGATTTTTTTTTAGATTAATTTCTTTCATTTCATTGAACATAAGGTTTGAATAACCGCTTGATTTATTGCTTAACAGTTAAGGTATAAATAAATAAGGTTTAAATGATGGTGCATGATTAATTGTAATTGATAAAAGCGAGACAACTCGACTTGTTAAATTTAGTTTCTAAAAATGTTTATAAATATGTTAAAGGGCTATTTGCATTGTGTGTGTGTTTGTTTATCTCGTGCGCACGAGGTACTTTGCCCATAGCAAGTAGATGATCTTTATTCATGTTTGAGGTCAAAGGTCAAGGTAACCATGACACTTCATGTAAAATCTTTGTCGAGAAGGAATATGCTATGATTTATATCACCTATTATAAACATTGCACCTGATCCGTAAATGGCACCTATTTAACAAGAAGAAATAAAGAAATATTATACATTTTTATACTCCCCGAAGGGAGAGCATATAGTCCCCGCCTTGTCCGTCTGTACGTCTGTCTGTCCTTCTGTCTGACTGTCCGGCCATTGTCTTGTCCGGAGCATAACTTGAAAACCCTTTGAGATAATTTGTTTAACCTTCACACAGTGGTAAAAGGCATTGAAGCGGATTGCTGTGTCAAAGAACCATAACTCTATTTTACACCGTTTTTGAATTATCTCCCCTTTTAGAAAAATCTTTTCCGGGACATAACTCATAATTATATGTGATATCAACAAGAGACTTTGAAGGTATATAGATCTCAATGAGTAGCTGTGCAGTGCACAAGAACCGTAACTCTGCCTTGCCTTATTTTGGAGTTATTGCCCTTTGTTCATTTTAACACTTTGAACTTTGTCCAGAACATAACTCTAAAATTAAAAGAGATATCAACATGAAACTTTGCAGATAGATAGATCGGGTAGATGTGCAGTGCAAAAGAACCATAACTCTGTTCAGCCCATTTTTGAATTATCTCCCCTTTAAGAAAAATCTTGTCGGGACATAGCTCTAAAATTATAAGAGATATCAACATGAAACTTTGTAGGTAGATAGAATTTAATGAGTAAATGTGCAGTGCGTAAGAATTGTTAATCTGCTTTGCCTTTTTTGGAGTTATTGCCCTTTGTTTAATTTTACACTTTGAACGGAACATAACTTTAAGATTATAAGAGATATCAGCATGAAACTTTGTAGGTAGATAGATGTCATTAGGTAGAAGTGCAGTGCAAAAGATTCATAACCCTGTTTTGCCCAATTTTTGAATTATCTCACCTTTTAGAATAATCTTGTCCGGTACATAACTCTAAAATTATAAGAGATACCAACATGAAACTATGTACATGTAGGTAAATAGATCTCAATGGGTAGAAGTGCCGTGCATAAGAACCCTAAACTATTTTGCATAATTTTGGAGTTATTGCCCATTTTTCATTTTAACACTGAACTTTGTCAGGAACATAACTCTTAGATTATTAGAGATATCAACATGAAACTTTGTAGGTAGATAGATCTCATTGGGTAGAAGTACAAAAGAACCGTAACTCTTTTAAGCCCTTTTTTGAATTATCTACCCTTTAAGAAAAATCTTGTCCGGGACATAACTCTAAAACTATAAGAGATATCAACATGAAACTTTTTAGGTAGATAGATCTTTATATGTAAATGTGCAGTGCACAAGAAACATAACCCTGCCCTGGCTTGTTATGGAGTTATTGCCCTTTGTTAATTTTTACATTTTAAACTTTGTCTGGAACATAACTCGGAATGCATAAGAAGTATCAACAAGAATCTTTGTAGGTAGATAGATCTTATTTATTAGAAGTCCAGTCCAAAGAACAGTTGCCTAATTCTGGAACTATCGCACTTTGAACTTTGTCCTGGGACATAACTCTGAAACTACAAGAGGTGTACTTTCCTGTGTCAAAAATCTATTCGGAGGACATCACACGGTTCAGACCGGGCTCTAGTTAGAAATAGCTTTCAGAAGAATATTATCATTTTAGTGCCCGTTAGTACGTCCACCTGTAGCCAGTGTAACTACGAAAGAAAAGTTCATTATAACAGTTATAATCAAAAAGAAAAAGAAACAGAATCTGTCTAATATCTGTGCAATGATTTTCCAGGTGATTTCATTGGTTTCATCGGTACCATCGACAGAATTGTCATTGTTCTGAGCGCTTCTTTTCTTATCCGTGACGTCAAACATGACGTCATTGTTTGTATCACTTGACACCACGGTGCATACTTCCGCTGTTTTCACTGACGTTCTCATTGGTGAAACTTTGTCGTCTGATCTCGTGTTCAAAGCAGACGAGTTCCAGCAAATAATTTTTGCCGCGTTTCTTGTTAATGTGATGATGAAAGAATTTTCGTCGGGCTGACCTTCTCTATGGAACATGATAAGTATTAATATCGTTATCAATATACCAACCGCAGCCAGGATCAACACGATGCCGAGGTAAAGACCTGTCAAATACATCATTAAATATAATGTTAGATCATGTACCAATATGACAATTGTTTATTTCTTATTCCATGCATACAAAAGTGTACTTCAAAGGAACACCATCATTTGTACTCAAGTTATTGTAAACTATCAACATTTTGTTTGTAAACATGTTGGTTAATATACATGTGTCCTTCTGCTAGTGATTTTAAGTGTAACTATCTTTTATTTACCGTTTTAATGTACAGAAAACGTTCAAATCGGAACACCCTGGGTATAGTTAAATTAATACGGATTGAAAATATATATATTTCGATCACGTGGTTTCAGAAGAGAGTGTAATGTTTGATAATAGAAAACCAATGTATATTGTGTACATTAAGGTGGACATTAACTCGTTGTTTTTGGGGGAAAAACTTGTCAGCAACTCTCAGCATTAAATTACTATTTGTTTGCATGTTTAGTTTCATAGTGTATGTTAGACCGAAATACCTTATTCATACTATTGTGTTCGAGGTCCTTATCCGCAAACTGACAGAAAGGGCCGAAAAGTTGCGATTGCAAACGTTCAAGTAATTATTGGCCATCCCTAGTATATAAATGAAATTACTAAATATTGAGTAGATCTAGTTGAAAAAAGTAATGTTTTTGTAATGTAATTACCTAGCACCGACAAAGTAATCGAAGTTGGCGGCAATGAATCTGCGACAATGGTGAGAAGGACAGCCAGTGCCAGAAATACCGTGAGAACGTACGAAAGTTTCTCCCCGGAATCTACCGGAACTATAAACACCAAGGCAACCATCAGTGACGTCAGAATGATAGGCATCATCACATTTAGGTTGTAAAACTGAGTTCTCCGACCTAAATAAACATAAATATTTAAAAAAAAAATCACCCGATTTTTTTTAGGTCACACTCGGGGCACCTCGGGCGACTTCGTGGTCACAAAGTTGTCCGAGAAGGCCAAATTATGACGACCGATTTGTATCATAATGACTATACAAAGCACTCGAAACGGGAATATTGAGTAAACATTCTTTTTGCACTGGGAATAACATCTCATATCATTAATGCTTTCATAGTGAATTAAATTAATGTTTTTTATTTTTGTTTTGTTTTTTATTTAACAAGTGCTTTCTTTTTAAATACACCACCATTAGTATTTTAAAGTAATTTTCTTAATGAGATTATTTCATATAAAAAACAATGTGTACAAAACAATTCCCTTTTTGAATATTCTAAGATACACATTCGATACCAATGTTCATCAAATAGTTAAATGTTATGACTGATGCTATGTATGGATCAATCAATCAATCACTCAATCAATCAATCAATTAATCAATCAGGGATATCAAATCACATTTGAGCGATTTCTATAACTACAAGTACAATGTATTAAGTAAAGATGTTATCAGCAGACTCAATTGTTATAGTAATTTAGATAGAAGCATTTTTCAATCATCCAAAAGCCATTTTTATAATATCCATTGGGAATGCTTGCGCTTGTATATTTGTAATTTTTAAAATCATTCAAATATTTTGTTTGTCTCTTTATTACATGAAAACTAATTCTCTGGGAAGGGCTTAATCTAATGTTGCTAGAACTTGTTGCCCAGCTCATTTGCTTTTTTGTTATACACTCATCATTGGTATAATATTTGACATGCATTTGATGCTTTAAAATATGTTTAAACTATAGTACAGGAAAATTATACTTACGTAGGTAAATCCAGAAGTCTATTTGTGGGAAAACTCTGACCGTTCCGCCAGGCAGATGTTCTGTAAGGTTTTTATCTTCAATTTCTGTACGTGTTATCTCCCATTCTCCGTGAGTTCTAGAATGAATGAAAGATATAAATGATATCTCATTTTATAACAGAAATGTATTATATAGATATCACATTTTATAACAGGATTGTAACTGTATTAGACGTTGCTATCACTGTTATAAAATCATTATTTTCTAACCAGGACAAATAGAGTGTAATTATAATTTTGATAAATTAGATAAGAAAATGTTAGGGGAAAAAAACAATGCAATGATAGCTGGTCAAATGTGTGGTGAATTCAAATAGAGTGCAAATATAATTTAAAAGATCAGATTAGAATATGTTGCAAATAAGAGCGAGTCAAATGTGTTGTGATTTTTATAATCACTATTATACCAAAAGCCATAAGGTCGGTGCAATCCAGTCAATTTTTAGTATTTCAGTAATTTGTTTTTCGGGATAGAGCAACAAATACACATTTTTTGCACTTTTTCAACACTTGATGAAGCTTTTTTGTGGACATTGCGGGTATAACGCAGCAGTTTTACCAGTGGGCCAATCAGCCCGCCGCAATATTGAAGGAAACTAAAATTGGGTTTCCATACCCGACATGTGTTGTATATTTTAAGAATTGCGTCCTGCCAAATAGTGTACATGACACAAAATAAGTCACTATATCTAAATAATGGCGTAAAGTATGGCAATAATCCTGCGTGTGCAATCAAAACTTCGCCACTTTAATGAAGCGGTCTCGAGATTGGTAAAAAAAAATCTTTACAATTCTGATGAGATACATAATGTTTAAAGACTTAATAAGTTTACGTTCCCAAAGCTCAACCGTTATGTATCTTTAGGGTTTATATTAAAAATTCTGTTCAAGTCGTCCATGTTACTGTAATGCAATACAAAGTTGAAAATCATAGAGAGTTTGCTTTAAACGCAAAAAAAACAATTAAATTGTCTGCAATGGGTACATTTTCCATTAGTATTTTAAATATTGATAACAAAACAATAGAAATGTATCATTTGGATATACTTATAAATTGCTGCTACAACAACAAAATAATGTTGATGAAATTCTAAGTGGTTTAGAATGGCCATTTATCCGATGAATAATATTATTTTGTTCTAGAACATTTTATTATCTGCTTTATAAATACCATTATGTAATATCGAATAGTGCATCTAACACTTGCCAACAACTTCCATGCATAATTCATTCGTCGTTCGTTTGTTGTTATTTCTAATGCTCAATCAACATAAATATCAATTGTATTACAGACCTTCCATTATAGACCAATTCACTTTAATTTATTTTTTATGAATACATTTACTTGTGGATCTTTATTAAAATGAATCCGATGATATTTATAATAATCAACCATTTTGGATGTCTGAATTTTCTTATGGTAAGGAAGGTGACGTGGGGCGCAAGGTTTTTAGGTATTTTTTTCAGCTACTCCATTGTTAAATGTACGAGTCAAAATCACACTTACTCAAAATCTTCCAGATTTACTGTTTCAAACAAATGTTCGAGTTTCACCTCTTCTATAGTGTATGTCCAGCTGACTATTTCTATGGCACATTTTTGTTGGTCATACGGATAATATGTGATGTCAACCTGAATTTATAATGATATCATATCAAAATAATATTTCAGCATACTATTAAAACAGAGACATTCGTCCTGGATTTTGCAATAAATATTTAATGTCAACTTTGATTTAAAACATACTGGTAAATGATGTCAGGATTTAAATAAAACAGGCATATAGTGCCATCCTGGATTTAGAATATAAATTATATCAAAATTATTTAATAATCATATATTTGTATTAACAAATGACACATTTGAAAAAGTATAAATGAAATTACATTTAGGTTATATAGGTATATCAAGTTATATTTCAAATACTACCTAGTTTAAATATATAGAGGATATTGAATGAGTGTAAGTTCAATACTGAATTTATTGCACGAGTTGAATAAAATTATATTATGCGAGCCTCTGGCGAGCATAATATTATTTTATTCAACGAGTGCAATAAATTCAATAATGAACTTACACGAATTTGATATTCTATTTATCACATACCCAAAATAAAGACCGTTTAAAGTGAAATAAGAGTCATTTTTCATTGACGCGCCGATAGTATAACGCTAACATTTAGCGCGTCTTTACACTATGTTTGTATAACGCTAATGACGTCACGTCAAAATATATGCACGGCCGTGCAATACCATATTACGGAGTCGCAAAATCGGCACGGGTGTGTGATAAATGGAAAAAACTGATGAAACTATTTTATAGATACATCGTGAAGATATTAATTACATATAAACACATTACATTTTAACTAATGATGTATCAACACACGGAACGGATAAAATATAATAAAGCATTAAATGATGTAAAACAACGACTGCTCAAACAAATGAATGTAATAATAAAGCCCCCCCCCCAAAAAAAAAAAAAAAAAAAAAAAATGTTTGAAAAACATAGAAGAAAACAACAAAAGCAGTGATATAAAAGCCCAAAGGTAATGTGTGCCATGAAAAGACAACAGAAAATGAAAAAAAAAGATACCATGAGCTTTGACTGAAGATTATAAGTTTGTTGCAATTGCAAAATGCTTAGCGGGGGGAGGGGTGTGGCGGAGGATGGATATACATTAAAATGATCACATTTTCATTTAAAATTCCAATTTAGATAACTCCAGATAATTTTTTTTTTGGTTGAGCAATGAAGTTACTCGTTACGCATTATTTATGGCGATAGATTCCGAATAAAGCCGATTAAAACTGACGATTTGTACAAAATATACCCGACGGAAATTGACGATTTATACGGAATTTTTGTAATAAAAATTAATGATTTATTAAGGTTGAAATATATATAAAAAACAGGGAATATAAGATGCGATAACTACGAGAATAAACAGTGCACGATAATAGATGACAAATTACTTCAAGATATAGCGATACACTACACGAGATATCGCTGTTCTACAAGCAATAGCTGTGTAATACAAGACAAAGTGGTGAACTACAAGAAATAGCGGGTGCACTACAATTAAATAGCGGTGTTATACCAAAAATAACGGTGTAATACAAGAAATAGCAGTATATTACAAGAAACAGTGGTGTTCCAATGAGAGAAAGTGGTGTTCTACAAGTAAGTGCGGTGTCATACCAAAAATAGCTGTGCAATGAAGAAATAGCGGTGTATTACAAGAAATAGCGGTAGACACAAGAAATAGCGGTGTTATAACAAACATAGCGGTGTAATTCATGAAATAACGGTATATTACAAGAAATAATGGTGTTCTACAAGCAATAGCGGTGAACTACGAGAGAAAGCGGTGTTCTACAAGAAATTGCGGTATCATACCAAATATAGCGACGCAATCAAGAAAAAGCGGTGTATTACAAGAAATAGCGGTGCGATACAAGAAATAGCGGTGTTATACCAAAAATAATGGTAAAATACAAAAAATAGCTGTTTATTACAAGAATTAGTGGTTTTCTACAAGAAATAGCGGTAAACTACACTTGAAAGCGGTGCTCTACAAGAAATTGCTGTGTAATACCAAAAATAGCTGTGAAATCAAGAAATAGCGTTCTATTACAAGAAATAGCGGCGCGATACAATACATAGCAGTGTAATACAATAAATAGCGGTATATTAAAGAAAAAATGGTGTTCTACAAGCAAAGGCGGTGAACTACGAGAGAAATCCCGTGTTCTACTAGAAATTCCGGCGAAATACCAAAAATACCAGTGTAAAACAAAAAAAGTGATGTAATACAAAATTAGGGGTGTAATACAAAAAAAAAACAAACAGTTTTTCGTTAGAAGGTATTAACAAATGTTTTGGACAAGTTTGGAGACTAAAATCGTTAGCTGGACACACCTCACAGTGGGTAACAAACAACAGAGGCGGCTCCCAGTCCACTGTCCCATCATACTTTAGACGCAGAAGAAGATTATCATTGGCTAGTATATCAAGATCTTGAAGTCTGCAATTTGTAAAATTAATTTGAGCCGCGTCACGACAAAACCAACTTAATGGGTTTGCGACCAGCATGGATCCATTGTCTGACCAGCCTGATCAGGATCCATGTTGTTCGCTTTCAGTTTCTCCACTTGTATTAGAGTTGGTATGCGAACAGCATGGATCCTGATCAGACTGCGCGGATGCGCAGGCTGGTCTGGATCCATGCTGGTTGCAAACCTACTATGTTGGTTTTGTCATGACGCGGCTCATTTATACATTTTGTTATTTATGTTTCATTCTACCCATAACAACCTATGATAAGAAATTTGATTTGCATTTGTACTCAATTGGCTCTCGCTCGAAGGAGCCCTTCGGACGTCCAAGTTAATAAAAACATCACAGTTTAAATTCCTACATAGATTAACAGACGTACACGAACTGAAAAAAAAAATGGAGAAAAAAAGGAAAAACAGAGCGACAAATGATCTGAAATCGTGTACACAAGTTATTAGTTCTTGACAAGAAGTATTCTTAAAATAGATACTAGGTCGAAGTAAAACTGGTTAACTTGCATGTTATATACAAATAGAAATGTCGGCCATGCTTGCTTAACAATGACAATGGTTATTAATCTTGAAAAATAGAACAGTTAGTAAATGATCCTGTCGTCTGACGGTAAGGGAACTCAATTTCTTACACCAACAACGCAGTCGGATTAAAACGCACTGTAAAATGTTTTGTGGTAGGAACTTAGGTTAAACACAAATTATACATGTATATCTGACCAATTTAGCTAGAAAGTTAAAGGACTATCCTGTATATTCTATTTTAGAACTATCTTTTACATATTATTTTATTATGACAAGAACTATCCTTTACATTTTATTTTAGAATTGCCAATGAGATTACCAGATTTTAATTTGTAAATTCACAAAATGACCAATCACAATTCTTCTTATATTCAGTTATTCCCTGTTAATTTGACAGGAAGTCAAAATCAATCAGACGGTCTTCCACCAAGTCCCATCATGCGAAAAAACCTAACCAAACTAGAAATGTGTCCATAGGACACGGGTGCCCCCACCGCGGAACTGTTCTGTCAATCTTATGACTCTTGGTCAAATATTTTTTGAAAACTAAAAATCTTTTACTAAGTAAAGGGCAAGAACTTTACAAATACTGAATAAATCTACAAGCAAACCCCAAGGTGCATAAGTACACATGCTGACCATCATTCTTGTAAACTTTCAGGCTTACAAGTGAAATACTTTTTGAGCTATGCATGAACAAGTTGTAAATTGCAAATTTATACTACTGTAAGTCAAGTGCAATAACTCTAACAAAACTGAAAAAAAAATTCACATGCAAAGTCCCAGGTGCATAGCTTTACAGAGATGTGAATCATTATTTCTGAAATTTAGTGATGTTGATCATTATTCCTGTAAAGTTGGTTGATTCTAACTCAAGCACACAAGGAACAAATAACAACATCATAACATTACTAAGTCAAGGGCAATAACTCTAAAAATACTAAATAAATCCAGACGAAAATACCCAGGTGCACAACTACACATGCTGATCAACATTCCTGTAAAGTTTCATGACTCTAGGTCACATATTTTTTGAGTAACATGCGACACAAGTTGAAAATTGCAAAATTTTACTAAGTCAAGGGCAATAACTCTAAAAGTACGCAATAAATCCAAACGAATATACCCAGGTGCACAACTGCACATGCTGATCAACATTCCTGTTAAGTTTCATGACTCTAGGTCAAATACTTTTTGAGTTACCTGTGACTCAAAAGAGAATGGACGGACAAGGGTACATCTAAATGCCCGCCAGTAAAGTGGGGACACAATAAAACTGATACGCTTTCGATAAAGTTGTCGTTACATAACAGGTGGGTCAATGTCACGGCTGTGCGCTTCTGGGGAATTAGTCACGAATTAAATTTACAGTAGAAAGTATTTGGAATAGACTTAACTCATGATATCATGCTTAACAGGAAGATGGGAAAAAAGTAAAATTGGAAGAAAAAAAGACATTCTTAAGATGTATTCGAGTAAAAACGTTAGGCAACACGCAAATACGATACATGAATTCTCTTATTTACCCTGTGTTTTCATTATTTTGAAATTTTTTTCGTTAATTGTTGATAAGTTAAAACTACTAATCTATTTCTCAGACTCGTTATATTGTCATCTTTCACGCGAGGAAATGCGATGAAAAAAATGTTCCCATGGTAACATTTTACATAATGAAGATTATAACGAAATACACTGCATACACTGTCAAATATGTTCATCTTGGTGCATTTATAAGTTAAAAGCAAATAGCTGCAATTTTATTTATTTAAGCAAGTGAATTTAAAGACATATATAATTAATGTAAAAAAAACAGATATTGATATCAAATTATATATTAATAAGAGAAAAAACGTTCAATTACTTGGACAAAAGCTTTGCTTGAAATGTAAAAGGCTCGCAAAAAGTAAAATAAAGGACATAGATATGCATAAGGAATACTATAACGAAGAAGCACGTGAAAACCATGCAAGATACGTCTGTGAATGGCACGAGTACCTGGCAATGAGTGGCAAACACCAGTGGGGGTACCCATTCAACTTTGCCCGTGTACGCCATCCTAATTAAGAGATCGTCACTTTTTATAGCCCCCAGATTTGCAAGACTTGCACGGAAATGGAATGATAAGAAAAACGTCAAATGAATGATAAATATAAACTGATATTTAATCAGGAATTAATATAAACCGGTATTTTTAAAATCAGTAATAAATATAAGCCGATATTCAACTAGGAATAGATATAAATCGATATTTCATCAGGAATAAATATAAACCGATATTTACTCGGGAATAAATATAAACCGGTATTTAATCGGGAATAAATATAAAGCGGTATTTAATCTGTTCAGTAATGAATATATACCGATATTTAATCAGTAATAAATATATACAGATATTTAATCAGGAATGAATGAATGGAAGTAAATTCGGGAGTGTGTAGAATACGTTTTAAAAAAGCAGAGAGGCCTCTGTTTGCAAAGCAAATCCGTGTAAGAACAAATGTGTAGAGGATATTGAATGATTGAAGATTTAATACTAAATTTATAGAACGAGTTGAAAAATATCATATTATACATCTTTGTACCGGTGGCGTGAGCAAGTAAGGACTTTATTTAATGAGGCTTACGTATATTTTTTCTCGATCTTCCAGCATAAACATACAATTAACATGTTATACAATCAATATTTAAACAACATATATATACACAAATTAATTTCTTACAGCTATAAATTATATATTTATTAATAAAATTATCTTGGTGCCTTTTTTTTTCAAAGGGTAACTTTTTACCTGTTGATTAAATATAATTGACTTTGCCCTGATTTGAATTTATAAAGAGTTCATTCCAAATCTCGAGGGATTTTAATGTCAAAATGCAATAAAAGTTGAGCTACCAACAATATAGCGTCTTAAAAGCTGGCTGGCCGGGCTCTATACTGGTAGCAGGGCAAATGCTTAAACAATTATTGTTGGCGTACTTACGCATTGTCTACAACTAGTTCGGGCTTCCAGATATATTTTGGTTGAGTGAAGATATATTCAATATCATCTTTGGCGGCTTTATCCCAGACAGTCCTGTCATCCTCCCATTCCTACAAGAATATATAATTCATTTGTTTAAAGTGGATTGGCCTACAATGGTCAATTTTCGTTCAATCTATATTTCGTTTTAAATATGTCGATACTTTCAATCCGTAAAGAATATATAGTTCAGTTAAGTTTTGTTTAATAAATCAATAGACCAATTAATTAATTAATTTTTATTTTTGTTAATCTATATTTTGTTTATTAATTTGATAAATGTATAAATAAATAGAGAATATTCAAGTTTTTTTCTATAAATACAAGATTTATTTTCATCGAGTGGTATGAAAATAAATATTTCATGAGTGGCGATAGCCACGAGTGAAATATGATAATTTTCATGCCACAAGAAGAAAATAAATCATGGATTTATAGAAAAATCTTGAATTTTCTGTTTATTATATACATTTTTCTCTTTTTAGACATTACAATTTGACAGTATTTCCCTTTAATTTTGTGTACTGGCAGAATTTAAGAGAAAGTTGTACGGCAAGACACCAGTGAAAATACGGAAAATATGTTTCACTGCAGTGAAAAATAAATTTTTACAGTGAAAATACGGAAAATGAAAAAAAAAAACACAAGTCATTTTATTTCATCAATATTTCTCAATATTTAATTTATAATTAATTAATTACTTAATTAATGAAAATAATTAATTAATTAATTAATTAATCTATTATTTATAAATTTATTAAATTAAGAAACAAAATATATATAAACAAAAATAAATAGATAAATAATAAAAACGGCAACAAAAAACATACAGTATCGTAAACAGTACCACTATAGTGATGACAGAGAAGTGTTATTGACTAGTGAGTAATAGTGATACATGTAACCATTGAATGATTTTGAATAAAAGACAAAAATAAAAATGTTGTAGGTGTAATAGATACCAGCTTTATAAATAGTAAAGCGTGCGAAAAAACCATATAAAATGTAAATCTCATGTGTGGCATTATGAACGTGTGGGAGAAATAGCACTTTATTCATAAGCCAGAACAAGTTCACATTCAAATCCACCACCCGAGCGCAAACGCTTGATTGTACGTGTGAGAACAATAAGATATTCAACTGATCAATAACTCATTTTACATTTGAAAAGCAATCATCCTCTATTTCTATTTTTAAATACGCATGCTTTATTGCTTCTCGTAAAAATACACACTTGCTGTATCAATTTTATCGATCTTTCAATTTTACTATTTTCTGTAAAAAACTATTCGGACAAGACACAAAAATGCTATGATATGCCGATGCGCACTAAAGTCTATATATGCCGACTTATGTAGATGAATAATACATAAATAAAGTCTAATTGTGCCGACTCATGCCCACCTATGCCTAGGTATGTCAATGTATGCCTTGATGTGTCAATTTATGCCTAGATGTGTCAACTTATGCCTAGATATGTCGTCTTTCGCTTAGAATTTAGAAATGCGGACAAATGCCTTTATATGCATGCTTATGTCAGCCTATGCCTAGACTCGTCAGTTAATGCCTAAAATGTCGACTTTCGATTAGACTTGCAGACTTATATTTAGAAATGCGGAAAAAAGCCGACTTATGCTGTCTAAATATGCCGTTCCATGCTTATAAGTGCCGACTTTTGTCTAGATCATGATCAGTCAATTTATGCCTAGATGTAAAGACGAATGTATAGATATGGAATCTTATGTTTAGATATGCCGATTTTTGCCGATTTAAGTCGATTTTTTTTCATATGATATGCCTTATATGGATAAAGTATATGATTATCGGAGGCAATGGTAGGATACTACGTCATCGCGCACCTGCAAAATTTACACTTAAAATAAAACAACAACAAAAATCAAAAATTGTCTATACGGGAGAATTTTGCATGTACACAATGACGTAGTATCCTACCATTGGAAACTATTTACCTCTGTGTGTACTGCTACGCATGTACAACTTCACATATGATCGCCACGTATTATTTAAAACGGTTAAATATTGTTACAACAATGAATCAACAAATTAATATTCTAAATGAGTGGCATGCTGATATAAAAAACTATACTTGTACTATAGAAACAGACATGTACTTACAAATGTAAGCCAACCCGCCATTGTCAACTTTTGTCCTTTCAAATCCTGAAAAATTATTATGTTACATAAATTTTATTGCATATAATGATAGAAGCATTATGCCAATCCAAATGTAAAAAAGTGCATGAGCAGGTAAAGTAAAAATATAACTGTAACTGTAAAAAAACAATGAACAAATAGTCTTGAATATTTGAAAATATTGATTTTTTTATATTTGTAAACATGCTTTAATCAACGAAAACGATATTTATCACTTAGGAGTTACAAAGTAAAATTTATTTATTACATTTTAATTATCTAATTAGGAGTTACAAAGTCCTAAGTATGATTTTATTTGTCGTAATTATGCTTTTATTTATAAACTCCTAATTAGGTTTTTAAATTGTTTTTTTTATAGAACATAAGGATTTTGTACCAGGCCCCTTTAGTATGAGAATGAAAATGTGTTTTATTGTAGGTAAATTATTCATATCAAAATAAATGTTGTATTATAAGTAACCTTATTCAATTAAGTAAGGACAAAAAAAATGTTAGAATAGGGAACATTCTTATGATTGATCGTAATTAATGAGTTCAATCATCGATCATTTATATACTATGGTATTCTCCTATTCAAATAAAAAATAACCAATTAATGAAATAGAATCTGTATCAATTACATTTTAAATTGGATCCCTTCTTCGTCTTTTATTTGCCAATCTATTCATTTTCGGACTTAACAACGTACGTTTGTCCTTTATTTATGATAGAATTACAAAAACACATTTAGTAACCAATGAAATTAATTATAAGTTCCAATAAAAATCTTTATAATAGCTCGCGTATCAATACCACTAAAGAATTGAATTGTGATTTATTATTAGAATGGATTTGTCCAGTTAATGATGTTTTTCTATCGGGTGATTAACAATGTACGCAGGATTATAGGTCACGGAAAGTATAAAAGAACACAAAGATTTAGAACATTTCCTAGCAATTCAATTGTAACGGCCTTTTCAGACGGAAACGGTCAATTCTAGGATGATCTAAAAGTTCAATGGGGGCACATCCTACTTAAATCAATACCATATATCCTTGTATGAAAATGAATTAGCAAATGATTTTTTTTCGAATTTGATTGGTTTAAACTCTTTGTACACGATGCTACATAATTATACCGTGAAGAACAGATGCACACACGAATAACAAATGTTTCCATTGTATACGGTTAAATACGTGTGCGCATAAAATTTATTTATCGTTTTGTCTTTATGGCATATTTTCTTTTATTCAAATGTCATTACTTCACAAAAATTAGTTATATGATGAGTTTATTTGAATAACTTTTTATTGCACAGCTGTCGTGCAGCCGTTGAACGTCTGACGTCATCTAATTAACGTGCGCACTATCCTGCGCATCTTTGAAACAGTTTAAAGTTATAAACTTGTCGTCAATAATAATTTGCATCATTAATGTCGTTTAACAAATTGCTGACTCCAGATATACGGAGAATATAGCCTTGCTGACATTAATATATAACCCGAGGCCAGCGCCTAGGATTTATCTCATTCAGGCTATATTCTCCCAGCAACGAAATTAAAAGATTTACTCTTCCTAGACTTAAAAAAAGTATAGGAGTCAAAATCACTTTTGGAAATATTTCTCTTTTTGTATTTATGAATGCATTACGTTATCAAGATGATGCAAACAAACTTACCAACTCGTCAATTGCGAGGACATTGAGTCCGGCTTTCACGTGGGTTTGATCTTTAGGACGTGATACGGGATCATAAGAAGCTGCAAGCACTGTTTCGCTGCGAATTTCTGTCTCTTTTGCAGCACTGTAGGCTGTTTCTACAACTGAAACACAAAACTAAATAAGCTTAAAAATTGAAACACTGAAACCAACAAATAATAAGCAATGCGTGTGGAGTTTCGTGGTTAGGGAAGCAACGTCTTGTCTCTGATGGAGTTTTAACCCACGAGTCCATCATTTCATAAGTTACTTGTCTGAAGCGTTTACCATTCGGCCTTGGCGTCGCAATGAAGGAATGGGCTACATAACAAGGACTTAATTTATACAAAATGTATGTTATTGTCCTCACGAGAGCGTAAAACAAGATTGCGCTTGAATATTAAACAAAACCTGTGTCTATTATATTAAAGTATAACTTTACATGTTAGTAAGCAGCAATCTGTTTTAGGCAACAGTATAGTGTGTACAGAACAATTAAGAACAATAAAATGCGAGCTTCAATCACCGTGATTGATTGAGTTTTTTTCTGATATCATTATTATTCAAACAACTTTAGTGCTTAAATCACGACGCAAGAGTCGTTTGAGAGTGTAATTCAAGTCAGAATATAATGATAGGATAAACAGAAAACAATTATGTTGCTTTGGCAATCATGTTTACATATCATCAATCAAACTTCGGGTCCTTTTTCCATTAACATCTGATATTTCAGACTGGACAATGAAAATGTACATCATCATACTCTGGTATTCGTTTAAGGGACTGAACTGAAGTTGCAACGCTTTTCACTCAAACCGGGCTAAAATAGTGCAAAAATCAATTTTAAATTAAATTCAGGGTATATTTCTTTATTATCTTTTACAGATTTGGTTTTTCATTTTTCGCGCATCATTTGATCTATGCAAGAATTACATATTTTATTTTTTGGGCGTTCTGACCTCAGAAGAGCTTTTGTAATATTTAAAATACAGATTGAATTTGAATTTCTTACATTGATCGGCTGGGGCACTTATAACATAACGATTTGCAAAAGATTTTTTTCAGAAAAATACACAAACATATATTGAAAATCGTATTTTTGAGTTATTCTTGGTCCGATTTGAATTTCAGTTTTATGTTATTTTTCACAATGAGAATTATTATTCCGGAAAATCGGAGTGAGCTAATGATCTGATATTTTGCATACACGTTACTTATTGATCTAGATTTACGTCAAACGATACATAAATCTCGAAAAGAAAATTCCAGTCCCGTCATGTCAAAAAACCTCAGTGCAGTCCCTAAGCAACTATGTGTATTATATTACCTCGTCATGCTGTCTTGTTTTCGTTAAACATTACTACAATATTTTATTCTCTAACTATGTACAATATCTAAACATACATTTCTCATCATGCTGTGTTGTAAACGTTTCAATATTTAATTTATGTTTGTTGAACAGTTTCCGTTTCGTGATGGTAACAATGTTTTATCAATGATATCTCAACTCTCAAAACTGTCGCCCATTGTGTCAACAAATTTAACATTTAAATCATGCAAATTGTATCAGTTCAACAGATGATTTATTACAGTTATAAAATGGAAAAAGTAACTCTATTTTATGTTTTTATTTTTTTATTTTAATTTTAATTTAACATTTTATCAATGTATGATATAAGTAAATAATTACATGATTCTGAAAATGATACTGTTGGCTTTTGGCTTCAAACTTAACTATACTATTACAAAATTTTGATTTTAATGACTTTTGTTTCCTGTTTTCTTCTAAAAATTATTAGATATATAAACGTTTATTTCCTTATATTTTTTGCATAATTATGCCTCCGGGATATAATTGTAAATTATCGGTGACAAGATATATTCTCATTATACAAAGGAATCAATCTTTGACTATTTGACGAAGGTTTAAGATTAACTCTTCCTTAATTACGCAAGCCCTCTCAATAACTTTAAGTTAAAAATATACATAGAAATGTTAGGAAATGCCAGCTATGTCATTGTAATATATTGGAAATGAATTCCATTTTGTATTCATTTGTCTAGCTCATACTACATTAAGGACACAAGAGATTCTAAGATATATCTATACAAGCATATTAAAAATAATTGAGCTTAAAAATGTAAATATTTTGAATATAGTATCAAATAATTGTAAAAAGGTATACTTGATTTTCAGACAAAAATATATAATTACGTATGTCATCGATTTATAATAACACAAACAATCATCCATGTATGGTATTAATTTAGATACCTAATTTACATTATATTTACTAGATTGTAACTTAAAATTGAAACTGTAACATCTATATGATTTATTTATTTTTAATGTTATGTATTTCTTATCTAGCTTATATAGCATATAAAAGAAATGTTATAGGACAAAATATAAGTTTTGGTCACATAAATGCTCATACATAATTATACAAACACCATTACTATTCTATTTTTAAGATATATTCTATAAGAATACCCATTTATACATTTCTATTGTTTGTTGTTGTTTTATATCAATATTTGAAATACCCAACTATGAAAAATATGCTCATTTTAGACCGATTCACTTTAATGACAAAAACTTTAGTGTTCATATGTTCTATATATATTTTCCTTTTACTTTTATTTTAAACTCAAAAATGTTTCTTAAGTACTGTAATAGAAAAATAAAGGATAAAACTTACCACCAATCATAGCAAATATCTCTATAAGTAAGTAAACATATAATTGAACATATTTATTCCTGTACATTTTCATCATCAGTTATGTTTTAATATTCACAATTTTGTTACGACTGATCAGTGAGTCCATCAAATGAAGCAATGATTATCTGCTAAATCCAAAGGGAGTTCGCTAACTTAAAGCATGATTCGATATGCTTGAATAAATAATTATAATATCATCTACGTCACAGTTCCATTCACCACAGAGAACCTGTTGAAAGCTGATTTAAACCTGAAGATTAGTGTCACTGTTTTTCAATAGATATTACAAATCATTTTTTGTTGCCGTTCGGGGCATTCTTTGATCGGCGTTATGCTATGGTCATGTTATGTTTATGTAATGTTAATCTATATTTTTACGTTATATCACAGATCCGGTGCGTTACGTTACGTTATCACGTGATACATTATACTGACTGGCGTTGAATTATTTATTTATAGTTTCATATATCACACGACTTGATTGCTTTATTATAAAATTTAAATGTTTAGAGAATTAGAATTCCATTAATAAAACAGGTGATTTATTTGTGATGTAAGCCTACATAACAACATTAAAATACATTATTATGCAAGTTACGGTTGATAACCTCCGTATGAACACATTTGCGGAGGTTTCTCAATTCAAAATTCCACCATGTTGAATTCTGCTTAAGCCGGTGCTGAGGGCGTGGACGGCAGTCAATCATGCCGTGTAACACCGCACTTTGGGGTCAAACGCACTTTGGGGTCCGACCCCAAAGTGCGTTACGTACTTTGGGGTCCAACCTCAAAGTACGTTGGGGTCCAATTTCGACCCCAAAGTGCGTTAAAGAGGTACATATGCATTTTTTAACATCAGGCAAACGACCGCACTTTGGGGTCAGAGAAAATTTATGTTTATTATGTTTTAAATAATATAGTGTAGTCAAAACCAATGGTAAACAAAAATCAAGGTATTAAATAGACACAAAACATGTGCCTGAATCAAGAGGGATTTAAATGGTCTTGATTAGTAAGTGAAGAACTTTCACTAGATAAATCACCAAATAAAGAATTTCTATCAATAATTAAACTTAAAATATGTTTTTCTCAAATTTTCCATTTATTTTGAAAGAATGTACACCTTTCATTAACGTCATTGTCTTTAGCTAAATGCATCATTTTCCCGTCTGTTATTTACACGTTTTACAGAAATATGATAGTCTTAGCATAGAAAAAGGTATAAATTCTTGGTATTCTTAGTAAGACATTTCAGTAAAAAATTTGCCTGATAATATGCTAAAATAGCCATTTATTTAGCTAAATGTGACACATAAGAAACTTGACTAGGTGTAGATGCGGCTTTAAGTAGTAGTCCGTACAGGCAGTACTAAAATATCAACTATTTAAGTAGTCGCACATTAAGAGCGGAGCTTCAGAATAATGTAAAATTCTGAGGGTATAGAGGGGAGTGTGGGGTATCGATCCCCCCACGAGGGTTAAAAAATAACATTTTAAAGGCCCATTATGCTTTTTTGTTTTTCTTAAAAGCTTTTTTATTTTGATGCTCTTTTATATTATCAAAAAATACACATTGGTCAATTACCTGAACCATCCTTTTCATCTGTTGCTAGAGAATAAGTATTTTATATGGAAATACTACATTGTTTTGACTACTTTTTATGAAAAATAATTTCACAATTATCGCTACTTTATTCAGGTAACAAGCATCTTACATTTCTCTGATACCAATATTTTAACATAATAAAATTCATGTTTGCTCTTTCTAAAGAAGTATGTAAGATTCCCCATTAAAAAAAGCTTCTGGCGAACGGTTGAACATTACGTAGCTTACAAAAAACTTAAGTTTGTTGATAATCTTAATAATGTATTTGTAAAAATCACTATTTATAGTCCGATCGAAAAACTTGATGTTTCACCAGAATATTGCAATAGTGCATATTTATAGTTCTTTGGAAAAAAAATTAACTGCATTTTATTTCATTCCCAACATATTTAAAATGGGGCTCAACATGGCACCAAAAGTTATCAAGTAAATGACTGACAGAACGGGATATTTTTCGCAGCATCTTTTAACTTTAGGAATACACAATTTCTGTACTAGAGTATTTTGAACGGTGGCATAAAAGTGACATTTGCAACTTTTTTTTGTTTTTGCAACTTTTTTTTTTCGTACATATTTTTTGGGGTTTTTTTTTTGTTTGTCGTACCATGGATTTATAATATAAATTCGTGGTCGTACATATTTTTTTAAGTTTTGAATATATACTTTTTTAGTTTTGTATACATACTCTTTTTTAGTTTTGCATACATATTTTATTTGAGATCATTGTACATATTTTATTTTTGTTTTGTTTTTTACTTTTTTCGTACATATTTTTACATGACGCCATTTGCAAAGTAGAGGTTTGGATAATTACGCCATTTGTAAAACACCGTTTTCAAACACTTCACCATCTGTAAATTACAGTACCCCATTTGCAAACGTCATTTACAAATACCAACATTTTCATTTTTGGAGGTATCAAAAAGACTTTTTAGTATATATACACATGTATATACATGTATATATATATTTTTTTTTTCTAAATCAGTGGAATATAAGGACCTATTTAGATGTTTTATTGTGCATTATTGTAATACACCAGTCATTTGTAACCACCTCCCTTGTCCCAGAGGGAGTGCGAGTTAAAAAAGAATCGTGTTTTGATGTCTGCACTGTTCTGGGGCATAAGGCAGGAATGTTATTATCTGAATATCCCCCGCAGGGCGAAGATTTTACCAGTGGTCGGCTTGGTTTAAAGTCAATGCCCACCCCCGCTATTCTCATGGGGTGGGGTTGAGTGGTGCAGCATATTCATGGAATAATAACTGATCACCAATCAACAGCCCTTTCCAAATAGACACTACTATAATAGTATATAATAATAAAAAACACATGATTATATAAAATACATATGATTTAAAAAATGGGCCGAAAAAGGTCGGCCGAAACCAGACTTGCGCGGCCAAAAACGACTGGACCGATTCCAAAAATGGGCCGAAATGTGACCAAACCACTGTGCTAGTTTTATACTCAACTATGGGCTGTTATGAGATGTGAAGGCTGTTTTGTTGGCTAAAATATGTACGAAAAACAAAAATAAAATATGTACGAAAAACTACAATAAAATATGAATGCAAAACTCAAAAAAAAAAATGCAAAACTCAAAAAAAAATATGTATGCAAAACTTAAATAAAAATATGTATGCAAAACTTAAATAAAAAATGCAAATGTCACTTTTATGCCACCGTAATTGTGTTATATGAACACAATTTTTAGATATTTCAAGTGGTAAAATTAATGAAACTTTTATTACTTAAGCATCAAACAAGGTATAGACCGCCATCTTGAACTCCACCTCAAATATTTCAATGTCGCAGATCGAAAATAAGACAGTACTCAGTATTTAAGCAGAACTCAGATTACACCTTTAGACCTCTGGAACCCAAAGTGCGTTGATATGTAGCATATTAACGCACTTTGGGGTCAATTTCTCGATTTTAAACCCAAAGTGCGTTTGACCCCAAAGTGAGGTGCGAAGTTTAACGCACTTTGGGGTCGGACCCCAAAGTGCGTTTGACCCCAAAGTGCGGTGTTACAATGCCGAGCCTGCAACATTTCCAATTTTGCCGTTTTGGACTTTCTTTAGGGATTCATATTTTCTCTATTTTGCTTCTATCGTTGCTAAGAAATTAGTATAAAATGGATTAACTGTTTTTTCCTTATAATTGACAAACAAAAGATATTAAAATATTAAAATTCTTTTGCAACTAAGTTTGGAACGTTTTTCGTGTTCTCCGGTGATATGATCTAGAAATATGACAATATAATCATGTACAAGTATAATCATAATGATTTAGAAATAATATCGAATTCAGCGGTGTTTGTCGGCCATTTGTTTTGATGGGAAAGGAATGACCACGAAGGCGTTAATATTGTTGCCTTAAAAAGGTTTTCTAAACTATCTTATCGTAGGGAGAGAAAAAATAACAGCTCAATATAAATGTAGTCCCTAACCAGTGTATATTGGCAGTTTAACACCAGTTTTTTCTTCTTTGTGCATGTATAGTGACAAAATCGCGAAAATAGTTAGAATTGTAAATAATGAACGTTAAGGAAAGTCTTAATGTAAGATGGAAATGGACAGTGTATTTAAAAAGAAGAAGAAAAAATAACAACAAAAAACAATAATATAAATGTTTTACATGACCTTATCATTTCTAGATATAATTGTTTTATTTGGGTGCATTTATTAGTGTCATATTCTACAGATTATTGAAATAATTGATTTTGGAGCTCGTATATCAAAAATAATTGTTTATATTTCAAAATCATATATTGTATAAAAGAAAAGAAGGACAAAACCGTTCCATAAAAGTATCAAACAAATTATCAAGTGATCAGTAAATAAATACTTTTTTCTGTGTGCTCACGTTTTAATTACTTTAGTTCTTATTAAGTTTTCATTTTTTATATTGATTATTATTTAACGACGTCTTTTTTTTCCTTTGAGCTGAGCCCAAAACAATTATTGGTAATTGAAAATAAATATTGCCTGACCAGCTAGAATATCAGCGAACATTCGTTTATATTTTATAATTATCTTATAATTGTATCATAGTTTGGGGACCTTTCTGTTGACAATGTGTCAGAGTTAAATCGTATACATATACATGAACAGTGCGTAAACTGGAGTGCAGGTATTAGTTACCCGCACTCATGAGCATGCCCTTTAATTGTCTCATTTTTGCTGGGGTTTACTTATTGTGACGGAAGAGAAAGAGAAAGCGACAGAAATATCATATTCAGATGCTCGTTCATTGGTTACTTTTTCCCGGGGTTTCATATTGTGATAACAGGGAACGTGTTTTTATGTTTGACAATGATACAAAAGAGAAGAACATCAAAACACTCGGCAATCTGATTAATACTCGGGGACTACGCCCCCTCGTACAATTCAGATAGCCTCGTATTTCGATGCTCTTTCTATTATTACTTATTTAAGTACTGATCAACTAAAGTATTATCTAACTAGAATTTTAAGTGTCAATGCAATGCCATTGGCAATGGCAATAACAATAATAATAATAATAATGATGATGATGATGATGATGATGATATTACGAAATATTCTAGGCACTGGTGCTATTGAGAGAGTCTTAAAACAGTTACCAATGTCATGGTCAAGAAACAGTAAGTTTAACCAAT